AAAACCGGAAAACCAAAAAACCGGAACGAAATTCGATAAATTTTCCCGCTATTTAAAAAAACTTTTTTATAAGATTTTAGGATTTTTCTTTCTTTTTTGAAAGATGTTTACCTTACCATCATTTTAGAAATAATCATTAGTGTATTACTTCATCGTTTTTTCTTCTTTTTAAGATTATTTCTAAATATTTTTCTATTTTTAGTTGGGTTTAACAATAAAAAAAACGGCTTTTTGTTGCGATTCAGAAAACCTGAAAAATCAGTTATCCGGAATAGCGATGGTCCCGATCATTTCGGATAATCGGTTCCCTACTGTATAATATAATTAAATAAAGAATTTCTGTGTATGTCCGACTGATTGCGTGTAAACTGGATTGAGGATATATCGTAAGCTCTAAGAATGCGAGATTCAAAATGGATCTAAATGAGTAAAATTGTAAAAAAATTAAGAAGCCCAATTTTTGATTTTTTAAAATTATATTTTAAATTCAGAGACATTTAAAAAATGAAATTTTCTCATTGACTTAGGGGAAGCCAGTCTCTTAAAATAAGCTATGGACGATTCAGTTTTTTCAATATTTTAAAGATAACTTATAACTTCTAGCTCTAATCAAAAAAGCTGCTTATCGCTTTCCCTGTTTTATTTTCACTTATATTTTATTTGTTAAGCCAGGTTATCTGAATGATCAACGTGATTAGGGTAGCATAAGCAAACTGCATAATCAAATTATTATTTCAAAGCTTATGCGAAACCACGTGTTTATTTTGTTTATAGTTATGCTTTTAAATCGTAATTTTACAAAATTAAATAATTTAACACCGGCGGTAATAAAAACAAAAGTTTTGCACTGAAAGACAAAATTATTGGGAAAAGGGAACTAATTCGCTGAGGAATAAGCATGACAAAACAACCAATTTATTATTGACAACATGGGTAATTAATTTTCGCAAAATACTAATTGAAGAACAATAATAAGCTATGAACTAAAACTCAAAATTAATGGAGAAATGTTTTAACGTTTAAGAGAGCATAAAAAATTAGCAAACTATTATTGATGTCAAAGATGCTTAATTAATTTTGATTATAAATACTAAAGGGCATAAAAATATGCTATGAGCTGAAAAGAAAAACTAATGGAGAAAATGTAATTATTCGTTGCGGGGTACAGTAAAAAGCCGGGGTACCGTCAACATACTATTATTGACACCAAATATGCTTAATTTTGGTTATGGGTACTTTTGGCATAATGGTAATAGGTTATGTTTGATAGATACCAAATATACTCATACACAACTTTGAAAAATACTTTCAGCGTATTTTAGGGTAAAACAGCTTCGACTATACTGTACATTTTAATGATAGATTTATTATATTGATATTTACGTACAGGAGAGAGTTGCTTGACTATAGCGAATTTTAAATATTATTATGCCAGGTGATACTGAATACAGTTAAGGTCTGGTTTCTTAGGACAAGCGCCTTATCTGGGCGTCAGCGGAAAGTTGATGTAGAGCTGACGCCAAAAAAATACTTTTTTGTTAGCTCAGCGTGAGCAGTCAGTCCTACGCAGACATTATCTCTCATTGCGCATGCGTTAATAACGTAAACAAATATTTATTTTGAATTTGTATTGATTTTGTTATTGTCGACCAGTGTTTTAGAGAACANTTCTTCTCTAAAATTACCTATTTTAATGGACTTCGTCTTGGCGAATAACTAAATATCAGAAGAAGCAAAGCACATAAATGTTAGTGGAATATAAAGTTTTTTTATTTCAAAAATAGCTTCAAAATTGAAAAAAAAAAATTTAAAATTTCCGATTTTACTTTATTTTTGTGAGTGTCTGAATTTCAGGAAGGGCGAAGCACATCGTTTGCCCCATCACTTAAATTTTAGAGGGGCCCTCTGCCTCCCACTGGTTGGCACGCCACTGGGTCTGACGCTAGATAGTAGAGGAAACAACTAAGTAAACCAGAAGTGCAATATACAGAAAGTGTTAACAATTAACTACATGCAGCTGTGGCCTTTCCCCTTCTCTGCAAAGCGTGTTTGTTCTTTTGAGAAAGGGAAATAATTCGCGAAAAGGTGTTTTACCGTTTTTTACCCTTTCCTTTATGTTATAGTAGGTACGTAATTACAAAAAAGAAAATTTTCAGCAACTCTATCTTAACACAATTTCTTTCCTACGTATATATTATTAGAGTACTGTATTTTGAAAAAACATGACGTGGTCTCTTTATGTGGGGCCCCCTTGACCGTCGGGGCCCCGGGGCGGTGCCCCGACTGCCCCGGCGTAGTTACGGCCCTGCCTTTATTATGATAGGATGGACTACTAAAAATCAGCTTTGATTAATTTAATAATGTAAAACAGCTGAGAAAGTCAACAAATTATAATAAATAAAAAAACATTGGAATCCTTTGATCTTTATTATTTGCGTCGATATTTTTCTGAAAATTTTGTACAGGATTTTGTAGTGTTGTTCAGTGTTATTGATGCGTTTTCTTTTTAATCCCGTGAGAAGAACGTGCATTCAGCTAGTCAATAAGTAAATAAAATAAAATAACCGACCTGCCCTTAATAGGGCATACGGCGTAATTTTTTAAATTTACAATTTAAGAAGGATTAAGTTTCACAACATAATGGGCAATGATACAAACAAATTACAACAAATAGACAATGATACAAACAAATTACAACAAATAGGCAATGATACAAGCAAATAAGTTACACAATAATTCACCACTAAAACTAGGTTGACGGCAAATACAAAATTAAAACCATAGTAAATAAACCATAGAAAAGTAAAATAATGCAAGGGGATAAAACACCAGTATAAGGCAACCAAGTATGAAAGATGATTTAAAAAGTGAGTAAAAAAGATTTAATAAATAAATTAAAGTGGACGTTAATACGTTATGGGTAACAATAGTTTGAAACTTATGAAATGGAAAACACAGTTTTCCATTTCCATTTCAAATGAAACAGTTTTTTTTTAAATTTCTGTTTCGCAATTGAGAAATTAACTATAAAATAATCTTGGGTTTTAGGAAATGAAGCCTCTTATTTTTATAAAAATGCATAAAAAATCAAATATATATTATATATATTCTGAAAAAGAGACCATTTTTTTTTCATAAAGAAACTTCAAATTATTGTTAAACTTGCCCTTTAATAATGAAATATATACTATCTCTACTTTTTTAAAGGTCAAGAGGACTAAGAAGTTGAAGTAGATGAGAAAATAAATAAATAAAAAACAAAAAAACGGGAGGTAGTGTGGTGCACTAAAATAACCATGGCGATATCGGCTGAGAAACTAATGGTTCATTCTTTCACCATATTTCTCCCACTTGAACAAAAGCCAAAGGAAGCGTGGAAGATTCCTACTTGAAAATCTTTTAATTTATTTTTCAATAAGCTGTATTTCTCGTAAAAATGCTTTTGAAATTGATGTAGCAACAAAGAATCGTGTTCTAGTGTCGGGGGAAATCAGTAATCATGTCTAAAATTATGCTTATCAAGTTGGTAAGCAGTTAATTGAAAAAAAATCTGAGCGGGCCATGTATGGGCAGAATTATTTGTGTATTATTACTTATTTACTAGAGTAAAAATAATTAATACCCAAACAAAATCATTGAACAAAAAAGGATAACTTCATTCAACTTTGAAATATAAATGCTTTAGCATTAAATATCTGAAATAAATTAACTAAAAACTTAATGAAATTTAACAATTAGTGTGACTTATCGCTATATTGTTCCAAGCCATTCAAATATTGTATTTATTGTATTAATTCTATTATAATATTGTATTAATGTTTTTAAAATTGATGTAGTTACAAAGTCTAGTGTCTATCAAAATCAGTAATGATGTCTGTTATCATGTATAAATTGCTATTTGAAAAAAAAAATCCCCATGTATGGAGAGTAATTATTTACATTTTACTACTCCAGTAAATCTAATTAATACCTAAACTAACTTATTGCACGAAAAGAATAATTGCATTCATTAAGAAAATGCAAAAGTTTTAACATTCAAAATCTAAACTAAATAAAAATAACTGAAAACTTATTTAAATTTAATAATTAGTGTAACTAAACACTGTAGTATTCCAAGCCATTCAAACATTGTATTAATTTGAAGGATGTGTTTATTTTCATAGCTAAGGTTATTGAAATAATAAGGTTATTAAGATAATAAAATTATTATTAAGAAGAGTTACGATGATTAATTAAGATATGTTAATATAACAGGACAAGAACGGAAAATGATGCATACTATGCATTTCAATTTCCCAATCGAAATAATTTGAGTTATTTAGTTAGTCCTCACTTTCAGATATAAAACTATCATTTTTATGATTCAGGTATTTCGTTAGTTTTGATAACCATTCATAAATCACGTGGTTCGTGACGAAGCGCGAACTCTCAAATGCATGACGAATATTTTTTCTCATCTCGGAACCTCATTGCAGTGCATTGTGGGAGATAGTTTACTATAATGACGAAACTAGAATGAAGACTAGATTATCAAAATTAGAATGACGAAATGTTTCTTTACTTTTGACGAAATTTGTTTCCTCGAAGAAAAGACGATAGTTATTCGTATTGACGAAATATCCGCTTGGAGCATATACCGGGGAACAGTTTTGTCGAAAATAAGGAAAGTTTCGTGAAATTTGAGTATATATTTTAAACAGCGCTGCTTAGTTATAAATATAGAAGGTAAATCAGATTTTATTTTTAAGACAACTTAAAATTCCAAATTTCAGTTTTGAAAACATGGTTAGTTAATTTTGAGATACAAGAACATTAACATGGAAACGTAACAAGAACATTGTACATGGAAACGTAACACTTAGGTTACCGATCTAGTTCAGCCTCAGTATAATTTATTTTGCATTCTTAAACTTCACGTCTAGTTTCTAACTATATATTCCAAGGTTAGCATAAGAAACAAATTATCTCGTGAATCTCAAACATCTTGAATGTTTGGAAAGAAGAAATTCTAACAAATACGTAAGCAAGCACATTATACATAAAAAATGAAAAACAAAACTATTTTGCTTACAATAGTTGCTTTTAAACTTGCTTCGTACTTAACTTCTGCTCAAAACATATTAAGAGATCCATGGTTATCTGATGATAATGAGGATTTTGATTTATACGATATAATTACTATGGCCGAGGCAAGTCTTGGCACGGATCCTTATGAAATGACAGACGAAGAACGGGAGGAAGTTGTTCATTTACACAATGTCTATAGAGGTAACTTCACTGGTCCGATAGCTTCAGGTTCAGATGTACAATATATGGAGTACAATATGACTCTAGAACATTCCGCGAAATTGTACGCGAGTATTTGTCAATGGAAGCATGGCAGACACCCTAATGATAGCATAGGTGAGAAAGCTGGCCAGAATTTGTACAAAGGTCCTAGTCGTAACCTTGGGAGAGCACTTTATTTATACTATATGGAATATCCCTTGTACAGTTACGAAAATCATGACTGCATCAATCACAAAATGTGTGATCATTTCATAGTCATGATGTGGGGACTAACAAACCAAATTGGATGTGCTCGAGTTAAGTGCCATCAACTTAAAGGTAATATTTTGTCAGCATGCCACTACTGGCCAAGGGGAAATATGCGGGGATCTGCTGAAATGAAGGTATATCAGATTGGCCGTCCATGTTCTAGAAATCCTAGGGGTGATGGTAATTTATGCCATAAAAATCTCTGCGTCAACAAAACGTTGAGCAAAAAGTACAATCTAGACACGACGTGTGAATCCTTTTGCCAAAACTGCGCCGTTAACAACATCAAAAAGTGCACTTGTGAATGCAAAGTTGGCTGGGACTGGAACGATTGTGCAGAACCATGCGCAGACCTTTCTATACCTCTTACGAAAGGTTCAGAACCCAGATGTAGAGTGTATTACAGATGGGATATATGCCCAGACTTCTGGTACAACATGTGGTGTAGAAAACATTGTCTTGAGTGCAAAGTCATAGATCCAAAGAAACCTCCACCCGAAGATCAAATGTGTTGTGGTGGTAAAATGTGTGATAGGTTTTATGTCCTTAACTATAAGTGTGAATGCGAGCTGTTATGTCCATCAAAGGCATGTATATTTAATATTACAGAAATAAAACAAGCTGGTTCATATGGATCTAAGCAAAGCTGCGAAAGACTTCTTATAATAATAACTTTATTTGTTTGTCATATTTTCAAGATATCTGTGCTCTATTAGAACTGCATTTTGTAAAAGATTATTTCGAATAATTTTATTTGCTTATTAAGATATTTGTAGTATATTAAAACTGCCTTTTTCAAAAAGTTTTTTTTTCGAATAATAACTTTATTTGCTAATTAAGATATTTGTAGTATATTAAAACTGCCTTTTTCAAAAAGTTTTTTCTTCGAATAATAACTTTATTTTCTAATTAAGATATTTGTAGTACATTACAACTGCGTTTCGTAAATTGTTTTTCGACTTTGTTTATTAAGACATTAGTAGCTTACTAAAACTGAATTTTGCAACAGTTTACTTTTTAATAATAACTTCATTTGCTTATGATGTTTTAAAGACATTTGTGGTTGATTAATTGATATGGATTTAAAGAATATTATGAAGTAATGTTTGTGTATCTTGAATATAATAAAAAACTACTCATTACTTGAAATGTTAAACTTGTATTTTAAGGCAGCATGTTTTTGGCACCAAAATTATTTTAAATCATTTAACAAGTATTGAGTGTTAAAAAGCAACTTTCTAGAATAATTTATATTGTATAAATACATTAATATTTAAAGTTTAACGAAGTTACGTTAATATTTAAAGTTAAGTGAGCCAGCAAGAAAAATTTACGACTGGTAAATTAATTTTTGTTACATAGGTTGCAAAAATAATATGAACAATTATGCTTACCAAAATAATAGAACCGATATATTAAGATATATCGGTTCTATATATATAGGAAACATTTATTTAGGAAACCGATATAGGAAACATTTATTTAACAAATATTGTCAAAGAAACCAGCAAATAAAACTTACACCTGATAAGCAAATTGTTCTGAGATGAACAAAATAACTTCAATTAACCCAATTTTAATTAACCCTAAATAACTTTTGATCTAGTGATCGGATCTTCATGTTCTCGGGACCCAATCTTAATCGTTCGAGAGGATGACCTCGAATATGATAACTAATTAGAGTAAATGATATTTTAAGTTTGCAAAATGCAAAATTTGAACAAAATCGGTCAAACGTTCCTGAGAAACAAATTTTGAAAATATTATTTTATCAAAATTTGATTTTTCAGGAACTATACGACGAATTTCGTTCGAATTTTGTATTTTGTCACATGAAATTGCATTCTTCAAAATTATGCAAAAAAGTGTATAACTTACGATTCAAAACGTTTTCGACTATAATTAAATAAATTAATAAAAAAATGGTAAATATATGTATCAAAAGTTATTTTTTCCAGGGAATTATCTTTGGATAAAAGAATTTTATAATTGTTCGCAAAAATTTTTCGATTTGCTTAAAAAGTTCTTGAGATATGGGGAAATAGTCAAAAAATAAAAATTAATATTAACATTAACTAAATGGGAAATTAACATAAATTTTTACTGCTTAGTAATTACTGATATGAATAGTTCTGTGCTAAAAGGAGTTAAAAACATTTTGTTTTAAACTTTAAAAGCTAAAATTAATAATGATGGAAGTATTTCAAAGAGGCAACATTTACAATCATTTAACTAATTTTTGCACCAGTTTTATTACCTTTAAATTATCACTCACTAAAATTATATTTACTAACCATATTTTATGTATGAATTATTTTATATTTGTGATTCCTCAGTTAAGTAGATAAAAGTAATTCTTGACATTTTTGAGATGAAGAAGCCTTCAAGCAACGTAAAGTAATGCTAAAATTTTCAGTCGCGTATTGCCAATTCAATCGCCAAGTTAGAAAAATTGAATGACATACAACAATAGAACTTATTGATGACTGCCATATGTTAATTTGCGTTTATTAATATTTATTAAAGTTTAGTAGTAAAATAGTTTCTAAAAATGCTGATTGTAAGTTAGGTCATATTTTATTTTTACCCATTGGCAAAATGGGTCTTGGTTTGGATTTGATGGCGTTTGCACTTTTCAACTCTGTTCAAGAGTAAACAGTGCGCATGCGTTGCTATGACAACTCCTGTTGTTTTTCTTTTTATTTTCACTAGCAGGCATTTTTAATGTATTCACATAATAATTTAAAGTATTTTCATATTCTTTTTATTATTAACGTATAATTACTGACTTGACGGTGATTTTAATATAAATATGAACGCTGAAGAAGGAAAAGTATTAGTTTTTTGACGTCTTGAAACACGTAGGGGAGAGTCGGGTAGCCCCGCTCACTTAAGGAGTATTGCTTATATTTCTGTATAATATTGAGTAATAATCAACATTTTTGTATGTTTCTATTGTTTTATCATCTAATTAAATAATGCAAAAAGAATAAACCAAAAAAAGAATAGTTAAACTTAAAAAAATAGAAATTAAAAAAAGATGTTTTTCAGCTCTTTTCAAAATGTGTCGGGTAACCCCGCCCAGTTACAAAAATTGTGTTTTTTGGCTATTTTCTCAGGTGTAAATGAGAATGACCAATGTATTGCTAATAGATAAACCTCGTTTATCATTTTTATCGCAAAATTATTTTATTTATTACATATTTATATACTTTTAGAGAATTCTATCATTTAATAAAACAAATGTCATACTTTTTATCATTATTATTGTATATTAATATATTATAATATTAATATATATTTATATTAAATATTTAACGAAAATAATTTAATTTAAGTAACAATAATTAATAACAATAGTTGTTTTTCAATATAAACTTATTTGGTTGATCTCTTCTTATAAACTTAATATAAAATACTTCTTATAAAATTACAAATTCACTTTGTATTTTGATTGCATTCAAATGCTTCTGTAGATTGATTCGTTCACAAATAAGTGAAAATAAATAAGTAAGCAAATAGCTTATCATAATATTTATGATTTCTTGATATTAAATTTAATTTGGATATATCAATTACATTTTAAAAATATTTAATTTTTCATTTTTAAATATATAAATTTATGTTTCATATAATATTAAAACATATATTTGTTGTTAAAAATGCATATAACATTCAAATTTGAAGCAATAAAATAATAATCTTTGCAACCGTACATTTATCGACGAAATAAAATTGGGCGGTGATACCCGACATTCATGTGAGCGGGGCTACCCGAAATCCAATTTTTTTGTAAATTCGTAATCACTCGAACAATTTTTCACATACAAACTTCTTTCTTTGTGCAAATTAAACTTAAGACTACATACTTTAATGCTGTATGTATAAAAAAAAACATTTTTTTAGTATTAAAATGAAGTTTAATTGAAACATTCAACCAATTTTCCTTAATTTCATGACTACTGCATTCAACATATTTTCAAAACTATTGTTTACCATGTTACCAGCTGCATAAATACTTGAAACTTTGAAAATAATATTTTTTTAATATAACAATTAATGTCCAATGGCCCATTGACTTGAAAAAATATTCTACACATATGAAATTGACAGTGGGCGGGGCTACCCGACTCTCCCCTACATAGGCAGGATATGAAAATCAATCCGACGACAAGCATCAATTGAGACTGTTTTTGCAACCCATGATTAGAAATGTTGTGGCGTTTAACGGAGTCGATCCAGAAAGAAAAAGCATTTGACCAATGGCTAACCAGCGATCGTAATGAGGCAATCACAACTTTTTTCCTGATTTCGTTTCTTTTTTAAATTTTTTTTTATGTACGGTTTATTTTTATTTTATTTTGCTATCCTCACTTAAATTATAATTAATTCATTAAAAATAAATAAAAGTAAGAAATATCTACAATAATACGAAAGTATAGTATTTTTTTTAAATCAAATATAATAATATCTTAGAAACAGAATTATTAATGTTAGTTACTATAACACTTTACAAGATATAACAATATGCGTAGGCTTGCATTTGCTGCAGTTTTTTCACCAGGTCAACGTTTAAAAAACGTTGGCCGAGTGTTGTTGAACGTTGATCCAAAGTGCCGAGTTTGCGCGCATTCTTTCAGTGTTCCACTGACATATTTTCCATGGTGGACTGATCATAAGACACAGTTTCCAGCAGAACACCAAAGTCAACCATCACCTGGCTGCGTTCAGTATGCGGGTGGATCAGGCTGCGCACTGACCGAGGGTGTGCGGTATCAGTCCTCGGTAAATTTTTCTACTGTAAAGTGGTTTACGTGCAGGAATTTGTGATGGCGTGTCTTCGGATCTTTCTTAGGGATGTTTCTCAGAGCATCGACAATACAATATCGTGCAGCTCTAGTACGACGTAAATAAATAACTACAACTAATATTGACATATGAACGTAGAAATGCCTTAATTTTACCATTTTTCTCTCTCTCTCTAAGATGAATGCAAATTAGTTTATTGTTAAGCAGCTTAAATTATTTATTAGTTGGCATTAACTTAAACTCTTACATTAGTAATTGTTGTACATTTTAAATACCTTTCTTTGTTTTCAGTTGCAATTTAAGAAGTTCAGCTTTATTTGTTACGTAGCAGAAGGTTCATACCTCCTTAATTTTGTTTTGTTCATCTCATGAAATTTCTCAAGCTTTTCTGACGAATGTTCTAAACAAAGGTTTTTGTAAGGTTTTGAAAAAGGCGTATTTTTATAGTTTAATTTCTCAGGAATTGTGCGACCGATTTCGCTTAAATTCTGTATTTTGAAATTTAAATTGCATTCTTTAAAATTATGCAAACATTTTTATGCCATACAATTCAAAATTCTTTTGACTATTATTAAATAAAATAATAAAAAAATAACAAATACTTAATAAAAGTTTATTAGAAAATTTAGTTGAAATATTTTGCTTGAAATTATTTTTGGATAAACGAATTTAATAATTTTGTGATTAAAATTTTTTTTATTCTTTAAAAAACTTCTCGAGATATGGTGAAATAAGCAAAAAGTAAAATTTTCATTAAGAAGTATAAATTTTAGACACCTCTCCTGAATAAACTATTGAGACCATATTTCTTCTGAAAATTCGCTTTGAATACAAATATTTCTTAAATTTACTGACAGTGTTAAAGAAATATGTTAATGAATACTTGTATTTATAGTGCAGATTTTTTTTACTATTAGAAAGAAATAAAAGATTGTAAAGTTGAAATATTTACTTATTA